CTAGCAGGGGGCTGAGCCAGGGCTGAGCCCATGATTCAACTACTTGAAATCTTACAGGCTTTCTGCTCTGATAGAAAAGGAAAAATCATTTGCTATGATTGATTTGGAAGAAATCACTTTCAAAAATGTTTTGCTACATACTTAGTTATTTTTTCCTAGATATTATGCAAAGGAGTGAAACAAGAGAGCTTAGAATGATCTTTGACTCAACAAAATAGAAACTGAAACTGAAGTTGTCTAGAAAATGGGGGAAATATTTATCTCAGGATGATTGCTGGAGTTCGGCGAGATAGCCTCGGGGCAGCTGTAACGGGTGATGTTATTTTGACCAAAGAAATGAAGCAGTACCGCCAGGCAGGCAGCCCTGGGAGGTATGATCTCAAAAAGCACAAAGGCAGCAGGAATTGCCACCTCTCGTGCAGTTAAGCAAGGATTAATATGAAAACATTTCATTATTGTGAACTGTTTGATTGATGAACATAAATCTGAGGGACTCGGAATAGGGAAAAATTGTAGACGACAATATAATAAATCTCAACACACACCTGCTTCAACCTATCCAAACTAAAGAAATAACATAAACCTCAGAGTTCCAAACCAACAAGCTACACAAAGGAATCTATAGCTGAGGAGGAAAAATAACTTGTCACTTCCAACATAAGCACACAATTCTAAATCAGCCCCCATTTGTACAAGCTGCAAAGATTCCTTTTCTAAGGAAAAGAGGAGCTTTCTAGCACGAACTCTGCTACAGTACACCTCACATTGTCCTGCACAGCAGCCTTTCCTTGACTGCTTCATTTGCAAATGAGTTCCTCCAGGTGGGTCTGAAAGTTAAATGTGTCCAAAATCGGGGAGAATCGTGGTAACAGGAAGAAAAGACAAGGTACAGCTGTTGGTCTTTCACACCTGGGCAGTTTGTACGCTGTCCTGCTTCCTGCTGGCAGCTTCTCCCAGCCTGGGGATAACAAGCTGAGAAGAAATAATACAGGGAAGATGATAAAATTGTGGAAGATGAGACAAGAACGGTGACTCCTTCTAATCAGTTCACCACTTTTAACATTATACACCCGCAGCCTGGTAGAGAGGCTTATTTACATTACTGCTTTATAATGTGCTTATATATATTGTGTCATCACTAATACAACTACACAAGTGAGGATTTTGCAGAGGGCCAACCAGCCGGTTTTGACCAGGTCCTTCTCACACAGTAATACGCCACCATTGCTCCCTGCGAACACACATTACTCAACAAGCCACCAGGAACAAAGTACACAACATTCACTCAGCCAACAAAGATTTATTAAAGTAAATAAACAGAACAGTATGCAATTCCAACCGCCCTCCAGAATCATTTTTTTTTTTTTTTTGAGACGGAGTCTTGCTCTGTTGCCCAGGCTAGAGTGCAGTGGCGTGATCTCGGCTCACTGCAATCTCCACCTTCTGGGTTCAAGTGATTCTCCTGTCTTAGCCTCCCGAGTAGCTGGGATTGCAGGTACACCCCACCACACCCAGCTAATTTTTGTATTTTCAGTAGAGACAAAGTTTCACCATATTGGCCAGGCTGGTCTTGAACTCCTGACCTCATGATCCACTCGCCTCAGCCTCCCAAAGTGCTAGGATTATAGGCATGAGCCACTGCACCCAGCCCAGAATCATATTTTTATGTCCAACTGCTCCCTTGGCCTCTCCACACGGAGGCCTGAAAAGCATCTCAAGACTTAGCATGGCCAAAACCTAATTCTTCATCCATACAAGCCCCCACTCCCAAGCTAAGCATCCTCGACCATTCCCCATCTCCGTCAAGGGCCCTGCCATCCACTCAGCTGCTCCTGTGAAAACAGTAGTATCTTTCAGTCCTGCTTGCTTCACCCGCTCACTCTTTAGATCCGTTTAGCTGTAATCTTGTCCCCTCTGCCAAGTCTGTGCCCTTTTCTCTCTCTTAACAGCCATCAAACCACCATCTCTCTGCCCTCCTAACTGGATTCATCTCTCTCATCTCATCACCCACCCCTTCCTCCTTCAACCCCCTCCATACACACACAAAGTCCACTCCACAGAGTAGGTGGGGCAATCTGTCAGTCCTTTGTTCACAAGGCTCCAAAACTTCCTAGTGCCCTCAAAATGAAGTTCAAACCTCTTAGCATGACCTACAAGACCCAACTATGAATTAGCTTTAACCCACCTTTCCATCTTAGCTTCACCACACCCAGCCCTGGCTCTCTCCCTGCCTTCATCTACTAATCCTCATCCTACAGCTGACCCTGTACCAGCTGGAAACCCAGTCTTCTTTCTGTTTCCAGCTCCTACCTCCGAGCCTGTCACTTACTAGTCCTTCCTGGAAGGTTGTCTCCAGACCCAGATCTACCCAAAGCTGGCTGGCTCCTCACTATTCCAATTTCTTCAAATGTCTTCTCTGAGGCCTTTCTGGGTGGAACACCCTATCAAATATTACACCCCTTAAATTGCATGCCTCTATGTCTTCACAGGATCTGAAACCTTTTCAGTCAGCCAATATATATAAGCACCTACTATGTGCCAGGCACTATTCTAAGTAACAAGGACATTGGTGAACAAGGCAAAGATGCAGCTTTCATGGAGCCTTATTCTCTGAGGGGAAGCAGACTAATAAATACCAAGGGGTGAGATGTAGCAAGGAAATTGAAGGATAAGGGAGTGGCGTGAAGGAGGGGCTATTTTATGTAAGGCCATCAGAGAAGGCCTTGTCAATAAGATGGCATTTGGTCAGAGATCTGAAGAATGTGAGGAGGTAAACAAGTGAGCCACAGTTATCTTCCTCAGGCAGAGAAACAACATGTGTAAAGGCCCTGAGGAGAGGTCCAGATAAGCACTGAAGTAACAGCAAGGATCTCACTGTGGAGCCTAAGGCACGAGTTGGAGAGTAGTAGGAGATGAGGTCAGAGAGGCAGCAGGAGGCCTTGCAAGCCACAGAAAGGACTTGGATTTTACTCATTAAGAAGACATGGTGGAGACGCATTGGCTCACGTCTGTAATCCCAGCACTTTGGGAGACCAAGGTGGGTGGATCAAGAGGTCAAAAAAATCAAGACCATCCTGGCCAACATGGTGAAACCCCGTCTCTACTAAAAATACATAAATTAGCCAGGTGTGCTGGGGCACGCCTATAGTCCCAGCTACTTGGGAGGCTGAAGCGGGAGAATCGCTTGAACCCGGGAGGCAGAAGTTGCAGTGAGCCGAGATCACACCACTGCACTCCAGCCTGGTGACGGAGCAAGACTCCGTCACAAAAAAAAAAGGTAGGATTCTGGACAGAGAAAATGACAGGACTTGATTTATGTTGTTGTTGTTGTTTTTCATAACGTGATTAATGTTTTAAAAGGATCACTCTAGCTGTCTAGAGAAAAGATTGAAAGGAACCAGGCTGCAATGATAATGGCTGGTAACAGAGAATGAAAAGAGACTGTATTCTGGATACATGTCTCCAATAGAGTCAACAGGATTTGCTGACAGATTGAGTAGTGTGAGGAAAAACAAGAAAAATAAAATATGACTCCAACAACTAACTTCGGCTCTTCTAATAATGGAGCTGCTATTCACTCCTAAGGCAAAGGGGGAAAGGGGATTCAGTTTGGGACACATTAAGTTGAAGACGACTCTTAGTCATCCAAGTCGTGATTTCTAGTTACCATTGGATGCACAAATCTGGAAATCAGGAGACAGATCTGGACTGAAGATATTTACACTTACATTTCAGAATCTCCAGTTTATAGAAAGTATGTAAAGCCCTGAGGCTGAATGAATGAGACCACCTTAAGCTAGGGAGAGTCTACAGAAAACGTCCTATAACTGATTCCCAAGGCACATCCTAACATATAAGTCAGGAAGATAAGGAACCAACAAAGAAAACCAAGAATTAATACCCAGTGAAGAGAGAATGACAAGAGAATGTTATCCACAGGCCAAGTAAAGGGCTGAAATTAATGTCAGATATTGCTATCTGACTGCCACTGATTAAAGTTTTAAATCAGAATTTGGTGACTACAGATAACCTTCAGAAAACTAGCACTCTCTTGCCAGAAATGTTACTCTGGACTGTTTCCCTCATGCTTAAGAAAATAACAAGGCAGGCGGGAGCGGTGGCTCACGCCTGTAATCCCAGCACCTTGGGAGGCCGAGGTGGGTGGATCCCGAGGTCAGAAGATGAAGACCATCCTGGCAACATGGTGAAACACCGTCTCTACTAAAATACAAAAAGTTAGCTGGGTGCAGTGGCACGTGCCCGTAATCCCAGCTACTTGGGAGGCTGAAGCAGGGAAATTGCCTGAACCTGGGAGGCGGAGGTTGCAGTGAGCAGAGACTGCGCCACTGCACTCCAGCCTGATGACAGGGCAAGACTCCGTCTCAAAACAAAATAAATGATAACAAGGCCTTCCATTTCTGGACATATTTACTCTTTGCCCATTCCTTCGTACATTCTATTACTACGTTGGGGATACTAAATTTGGGCTAGAGAGAAATGCAGAAAAATACACTCATTCTATCTCTGACTTTAAATAACTTCTATAAGGAAAAAAAAAAAAAAAACTCCATTCACGTGAAAGAAACTCAGCTAGAAGTTCGTGAAGTTGACACCCACAGGCGACCCACGTGGGTGACAGATGGAGGTCAGAGGGCACTGCTCCAGGCGAACCTAATCGCCAGCGTCCAACAGATTGACAACTACCACCGACTATTCTCACTGCTTCCTTGACTGAGTGCGGAGAGCGAGAAGCACAAACTCAGTATACTGGAGAAGTCAGACCCTCCCCACCAGGTCAAGTCCACGTCTCCAGCTATCCAGGTCCCGGCTCCAGGCCCGAGCCTCCCCCTGCCCAAAGGACCCCCGCTCTAAACCGCCAGCGCCGGACGCACTACAAATCCCAGCAGGCACCGCGCTCCCGCAAAATGCCGGCCTACGCTCCGCCGCCGCGGGGCCGCCTGGGGCCAGTAGTCTCCACGCCCCCCGTCTCCGGTAAGTACCTGAAAGCGATAAAGGAAGGCTTCAGGCCAGAGGACGAGGTAGGCCGGGCTGATGAGGCCGAGTTTGCTGACCAAGGGCACCGCGACGCTGGCGGCGAACCAATAGCGCGTGATCGCGGGGATGCTCCTGAACCAGTCTCCGATGTCCGACATCTTCGACCCACAGGTAGCCAAGATACACACGGCCGCCCGACTCCCCGTGCCAACCCCCTCACGACGCGGCCGGCTCCGCGACTGTTAGGTCTCGAGGTGGAAGGGGCAGAAGCCGCGATGCAGAAGGCGGGGACGGGCAGACGTGGCGCCACCGAATTCGGACTAGCGAGGCAGCCTACTGAGGCGAAACTTCCCCTTCCGGCGGCCGCGGACTACGTGACCAGAAGTCCCGCCGCTTAAAGGGCGAGCGCCGATTTTAGCGCCTGGCCGAAACTAGGTGTCCTGGGGCGGAGCGAGGTAGGGCGACAAGACTGGTGGGGAAACAGTGGTTGCCAGGAGCAACGGCAAAAGCTCCAGCCAATGGCGAGGCCAAATGCCATTCACAAGTTCTCAGAGTTTTAACGCGGCTGGGTCCTCTGGGAGAGTATTTAAAGGGGATGAAGGCAAATAGTCTAGTTCTTCGTCTGCTCACTCATTCCACAAGTGTTTGTCGGGCACAGTTCTAAACACAGGGTGACAGACGACTGCGCCTGTCACCGCTATCGTGGTACCCTCTCTTGATCTTACATCCTCATGGGGATTATTTATAAACAAATAGATAATGATGTAAGATAATTTCAGGGAGTGATTAGAAAAATAGAAAAATGAAATGAGATAATGAGGTAGAGTGACGGGGTGGGGGAGCGGCAGTGTGAGGACAATGACTACTTTAGGTATGAACAGAGCCAGCCGGGCAAAATCTGGGGGAAGAGTTGTCCATGCACAGAAAACAGCCGCTGTAACTAGGTTGGAATGTTGGAGGGACTGAAAGCCAAAATGATCCATCTTGTCTAATCCATCTTGTATAAAAAGGAATCTTTAAAAAAAGATACTGGCCGGGTGCGGTGGCTCATGCCTGTAATCCCAGCACTTTGGGAGGCCGAGGCGGGCGGATCACCTAAGATCAGGAGTTCGAGATCATCCTGGCCAACACGATGAAACCCCGTCTCTAATAAAAATACAAAAATTAGCCAGGTGGAGTGGCGGACGTCCGTAATCCCATCTACTCAGGAAGCTGAGACAGGAGAATCGCCTGAAGCCGGGAGGTGGAGGTTGCAGTGAGCCGAGATCACACCATTGCACTCCAACCGTGGGGGACAAAATCAAGACTCCGTCTCAAAAAAAAAAAAAAAAAAAAAAAAAAAAGAAGGAAGGAAGGAAGGAAAGAAAGAAAAGATACTGAGTAAGTAGTTTCCTGTTGTTTTTGGATTTATGGCTTACAATTTAGGGTTGCTAAAGTCTTCCAGTAAAGACCACCAGGAACAAACCCGTAGTCAACAAAGCGAGATTTATTTATTTATTTATTTATTTATTTATTATTTTTGAGACGGAGTTTCGCTCTTGTTACCCAGGCTGGAGTACAATGGCACTTCGGCTCACCGCAACCTCCGCCTCCTGGGTTCAGGCAATTCTCCTGCCTCAGCCTCCTGAGTAGCTGGGATTACAGGCACGCGCCACCGTGCCCAGCTAATTTTTTGTATTTTTAGTAGAGACGGGGTTTCACCATGTTGACCAGGATGGTCTCGATGTCTGGACCTCGTGATTCACCCGCCTCGGCCTCCCAAAGTGCTGGGATTACAGGCTTGAGCCACCGCGCCCGGCCTCAAAGTGAGATTTATTAACTTGCTACAGCAAGGCAGACTGCCCTCCAGAGGAACCTCAACGCCTCTTATCAAGCAGAAGTGTCATTGGATTATGGGAATGGGAGGAATTTTGGGTAAAAATTAAATGGAGCAGTGTTTGATAGGCTCAAAGCAAAGCAAAGCTGAGGTGTGTAGCATCAGGTTAACATCATACCTGAGTTAGAGGCTCTTTCCTTGGAAATTTCAAAGTTAAGACAATTGTGAAATGTCAGGTGTGAAAACTCTATCTAAAGCTCTGTACCTGGATTGAAAATCCTGTGTCAAACTGACCTGCATGGCTCAGATGCTCTGGACAAGAATGGGATGTTCCATTCACAAGGAAAGAATTTCAGACAGCAGAGTTTCCAACGTTCTATAATTTTAGAGAATATTGTCAGCACCACATCTTTGATGTTAATAAACAAAAAGTTTTTGCAGAACAAAAGGCATTAAATATTCCACAGTGCAATGAAGGTATGCAACATTTGGAGACCAATGGATAGCAAATATATGAAGAACACAGCCGGCGGGAATATAAATTGATACAGCCTTACAAAAAGATAATTTTGATATAAAATAAAAGCTAGACGGTTATATAATACTTGATGATACTGCCTGAGGTTTATTCTATTTCCCTCTGCTACCACCACCATTGTTTTGTACCCACTCCTCAAGGGCTGAAATTAATGTCAGATCTTGCTATCTGACCTGCCACTGATTAAAGTTTTAAATCAGAATTTGATGACTACAGATAACCTTCAGAAAACTAGTACTCTCTTGCCAGAAATGTTAATCTGGACTGTTTCCTTCATGCTTAAGAAAATAACAAGGCAGGCCGGGATGTACTCATACCCAAGGTACAATGAAAGAAAACAGGGGCTATCTGGCTTAGCCCTTAGGTGGAGGGCTAAGGAAAGTTTCTGTGATAAACTCATAAGTACACGTGCATGAGAAAAAGACAAGAACAAGAAAAGCGTACACCCAGTATCTGGCAGTGTTTATTTCTAAGTTGTACTCTAGAATTCTCAGAGAATGAATGCTCTGGGATTCAACTTCAGGCTTTAGAAACACGAAAGTTTAAATCACAGCAACGGTAGGCCAGGGATGGGGGCTCACTCCTGTAATCCCAGCACTGTTTGGGAGGTTGAGACAGGAGGATCACTTGGGCCCAGGAGTTGGAGGCCAGCCTCAGCAATATAGCAAGGCCCTGTCTCTACTAAATAAATAATAAATAAATAAATAAAATTATGGCAACACCACTTATTAGCAATATCATGGTATAAAAATCACTTAACCCCTCTGTCCTTCAGTTTATCTGTAAAATGCAGAAAAGAAGAGTAACGGTAGTACTGAATTCATAGGATTGTCATAAGGATTTAAATGAGCTAGATATGTATCCAGTACTTGAAACAATGTTATTACTATTCTCTTTTTTGCTTAGCTGTCTTTTTGAAATGTTTTACTATAAAAATGTATAACTTTGTAATTTTTAAAAAGTTAATTAGTAAGGGCACTTGCCTGCCTGCAAATTGTCCTACCCTAAGGATAGAGAAGCTATTTCCAAATGACAGTGGATATAAGGATCACCAATGAGAACTTGGCCCTCCCTTGGAGATTTCAAGTTTTGCAAATCTGGGGTAAGCCTAAAAAGATCTCCATCTTTCAAAATCCCTCCCTCCCTGCACCTTCCATGTGATTCTGATAGCAGGTGATCTGCAGACTATTCTTTGAGAACCATCACATTAGATAAACATTTATTTTTCTGTTCTCTCTACATATTGAAATAAACTATTCTAGGCATAAAACACAAAGGTAATTTACTACAAATTTATCATAAATAAAGGACCTCCTCAATCTTCCCGGATAGTTTGCTTTAGAATTTATCACTTGTAAAGAAGTTTTTGTGTTGCTGCCATCAATACAAGCCATCTTTTAAAAACGTACAGGTAAATGATACTGGGCTAAATGCTAGGAAAGAGTATGGAGAGGTAAGGTGAAAAAAAATGTGGAAATGTAGGCATCCCGTGAATTATTAATGACAATGCACATTGGAACAGCCTCTATAGCAAACACTACGGCAATATTTAAATGCCACTTCTAGGAATTTAAGCTTTAGATAGACTCCAACATATTTTTTAATGTAAAAGGATAGTCATTGCTGCATTAAAAAATATTTCATTTTTAACTCCGCATTACATGAGGAAGTGCTGCATTTTTTGAAATAGCAAAAGACTGGAAATACCTGACTATCTGCCAACAAGAAATTGATTAAACAAACTTGTTTATCCATATAATCCAATACTAGGCAACCTTTATTAAAATAAGACAACTTTGTATATCCCGAAGTGGAATGACCTCTAACATGTAGTATTAAGAAAAAAGGCCCGGGCATGGTGGTTCATGCCTGTAATCCCAGCACTTTGGGAGGGTGAGGCGGGTGGATCACAAGATCAGGAGTTCGAGACCAGTCTGGCCAACATACTGAAACCCCGTCTCTACTAAAAATACAAAAAATTGCCGGGTGCGGTGGCTCACGCCTGTAATCCCAGCACTTTGGGAGGCCAAGGCGGGTGGATCACAAGGTCAAGAGATTAAGAACATCCTGGTCAACATGGTGAAACCGGTCTCTACTAAAAATACAAAAAATTAGCTGGGCATGGTGGCGCGTGCCTGTAATCCTGGCTACTCAGGAGGCTGAGGCAGGAGCATTACCTGAACCCAGGCGGCGGAGGTTGCGGTGAGCCGCGATCGCGCCATTGCACTCCAGCCTGGGTAACAAGAGCGAAACTCCGTCTCAAAAAATAAAAATAAAAAAATTAGCCAGGTGCGGTGGTGTGCACCTATAATCCCAGCTACTTGGGAGGTTGGGGCAGGAGAATCGCGTGAACCCGGGAGGCAGAGGTTGCTGTGAGCCGAGATTGTGCCATTGCACTCCAGCCCAGCAACAGTGCAAGACTCCATCTCAAAAAAACGAAAAAGAAAAGAAAAAAATTATAGTACAATGTGCATAGTATTGTACTATAATACAGTGTAATAGCCACTCTACCATTGCATTGTACAGAAAGCACACACACAGATATACATGCAGTATTTGCTTGAAACAGCAGTTAGCTCTGGAAAGGGAATTTGGAAGCAGGGAGACAGGGATGGAAAGGTAATGTTTTATTGCATTTCCTTTTCTACCTTTTAAATTCAAACTATGTATTTAAAAGTTAATTTTAGAGATATAATGGGGTTTGTTAAGAAAGGAATGTGTTTAATGTCAGAAACTTCACAAAGATTGAGGTAATAATGATGGCCTTAGCCATGACTTTCCTGCTATAATTGAAATATATTTCCTTCTGTTTATATAAAAAACAGAACTTTAAAAAATTGGAGGGAGATCATCATTTAAGCGCCCACTATTACCTAGCACTGGAGCTTGGCCCTGTGATGCTTAGTGCTGCTAACAGAGAGCTAGGGACTCAAATACCACTCTGTCCCCACAGCCACAGGAGCACCATTCTCGTGGGATGCCTGCCATGTCACTGGCATCTGTCTTCTAGAAGTTCAAAGCACAAGGCAAATATGTACTTAATCTTGATGTTAACTAGCAGGCAAATTTGTTAGTTCCACCTTGCAGATGAAGATTCT